GTCACAAAAAGCTCAAATCTTTGTGCCTTTGCTAATTCAGTGTGATTAACAGCTCCATCCCATTTTCTTTTTGTACTCCTACACCTTGGTTTTTTCATAATATTTTAGAAAAATTCAGAAACCCTTGGCCCCACCACTATCCAGTGTGGATCTTCTGCAGACACCAGTGCCCATGGTAACGCATGGCTGTGATACTCAAATGCAGTCACAGACAAGTCCTAGATCACTTGAGGTTTTGGCATCCCTCTTTTTCCCAGTGCTTGCTCATCACATCCTTAAATGCAAACCTACAGAGTTGTTGCTCAGGGAACAGTGAGTTAATGCTGGCACTGCAGATATTTCACAGAGCTCTGACCTCAGGAGACGACACAACACTTTCAGCAAAGTTGTGATGTAGCAGCATGTCCATTCATTAATTACCAGAGCAGCCACCTTTTCCTTATCCAAACATCTTGGACTGACTGGGATACTGTGTCACAGAAACCACAGAGGACCAAATGTTCACAAACTAATAAAAAACAATGAAATCTTACAAAACCTTCTTGGGAAAAATCTGAAGTTTGAAGTTTCAGTACTCGAAAATGCTAATTATTTTGCTTTGCAAAGACCTCTTGGAGTTTCCTAATTTCCCCCTAGTTTGGCAAGGGAATGTTGACTCACAGTTTTTGGACATTTAGAAACACCAGCCTTGCTGGTGTAGTAGTGCAGTAGAGCACGTAAGCCATAGAACTGCTGTCCCTGTTCTTCCATCACTGGGTGTGACCCAGCTGTCCCAAGGCACTTCTCCAAAATAAAAATCTAGGTCGTGCCTCCAGTGCTCAACGTGAAAGGGAGCAGTGCTCACAGGCAACCCGCGTGTGCCTGTGTGCACATGACCCTGTTTGGGAGGCCAAAAGGTCTAGAAAATTGCTTTCTGGGAATCTGCAGCACTTCTGGCACTAATAGATCTCCCTGGGTCCACTGCCACCACCTTGTGGTCGATGTACAAAAGGACAGTGACTTGGAGAGTAACGAGATTTCATTCGTTATGTATATTTTGCAAAGGGTGGCAATATTAAAAAAAAAAAAAAGTTACAGCACAGGCTGCAAGTCTGACATTTCTGAATTGCAAACTTGTGGCTGTTACTTGCAGTCATAGCACTCAGTTCAAATTCAAAGAATCATAGTACATCCCAAACTGGAACGAACCCAGAAGGATCATGAAGTCCAACTCCTGGCTCCACACAGCACCACCCAAACATCACACCTTATGTCTGAGAACGCTTTCCAAATACCTCTTGAGTTCCAGCACCTTGGGGCCGTGATGACTGCCCTGGGGAGCCTGTTCCATGCCCACTACCCTCTGAAGAGAAGAAGAGCCTTTTTGTATCACCCAACCTGACCCTCCTACGATGCAGCTCCATGCCTGCCTTTCCCCTAGGTCCCATTGCTATCAGCATAGGGAATAGCTCAGCACTGTCCCTCACGAGGAGCTGTAGGTTGCCACAAGGCCTCACCTCAGCCTCCTCTGCTGAGTTACAGGGCTCTTTGCAGACAGCAGGAGGAGATGCCAAGACTTCAGTCTGATCTGCAGAAATACAGGTTGTATTGCAGCCAGCATTTTTGGGGTCAGGCTGCTGCTGCTTCTAAATTTTGGCTTGGTTAAGTACGTGGCCAGGTCACGTATTAACTGCACAAACTGTGCCAAAAAGATCATCACAGATGCCAAAAAGATAATCACAGTCATTTGTGATCTCAATCACTTTGTGCAGGTGACAAAAGTAGCTATCCCCAAAGGAAACAGCTAACCCTTTACTAGCAGCCTTAAAAACTTCTGCTGCGGCAACAGCTAGTGGAGAACCACTGCTATTCAGTCTTATCCTTAACTCATCAACGTGCAAGGTATCCTCCCATACAGACTTAGCCTCAAATCTCACTGAGGCATGAGAGGAAAAAAAAAAAAAAAAAAAAACAAACAAAAAAAAACAACCTGCTAACACAAAAGTTCAATGTCACATCCAGCGAAAGCCTGGTTCATAGCCTACACTAGAAGGGATGGCAAGGAAAACAACTGACCAATACTTGACTAACAGCAGAAAAGAACAGGCTTATGGGATTCTGCAAACTGGAGGGATGGTACAAGAGGAATGGCTACAAATTCTTCCCAAATCTATGGCAGGGCTCCTGCCACGTTGTCACAGGTTGTTGAGTGGCATCACCACACACATCTTTGGGAGATCTCAACATTCTTTAGGTGCTAATAAGGAAACAAATTGCCTCTCTGCACAGCTCATTTAGTGTAGCGCTGGGTGTTTCAGGCAGGTGACAAGCTTTTCAGATAGTTCAGCTTTCCTGCATTGCATAGTATCCTCTTGCAAGTACTCCAATGACAACACAGCTGCCACCAAATTATTTTAAATAACTGCACTCTCTGCATTCTTGATCTGTACTTGGATGTTAACACATTCCTCCCACCAAAGAGGAATGTGACAACTCTGCTTGGATCAGACCATCCATCAGCTTTTCCAGTTTTCCCCGTGCATCTTTTTTCCTAAGAAACCCTCAAGAATCCAGTTTTGCTGATCGCTGTGTGCATTCTGCTCTTCCCCCAGGAGAAAGCTTTTAACGACATCCTCACCAACAAAGGCCCCGAGCTGCTGAAAAACCTGGATGCTTTCTTAGGAGACAAAAATTGGTTTGTAGGGAAATCTGTAAGTATAATTTTGGTTTCTCTCATCCCAATGACACCGCCAGCAAAATGCAACTGTGACTACTGTTAGCATTATGGATTTCACGCTATCCCAATGAAATCTTGTAAAAACAGGTCACTTGATTTTTTTTTTTTAATTTTTTTTTAAATTTTTTCTTACCAATACACAACTGGTTGCTCCATTGTGTAGTGAAAGCTGTTCACGCCATCAGAAAAAGAAAGCAAACCAGGATAGATCTGCATTTCCTAAACCATTCTAGATGTTGATACAAGACATTTTAAATGCTTTTGCACTACTTAGTGGAAGTGTGAGTTACAAACTCTGCATAGAGTCACTGCTTGATTTCTGAGTCAGTACTAAAAAAAAAAAGAAGAAAAAACAATATTAGTGGCAAGAACCTGTTTTGACTAATTTTTAATCAAGTTAATCCTTGCGTTGCAGCACAGTTACTATCTCTGTAACTTAAGAACCCAAAACCTAGCTTCGTTTTTGCTGAAAATATTCGTTGCCCTAATTTTCTGAGATTACCAATTCAGGTTTACAACTTCTTTCCTCTTTCCACCAGGTAACATGGGCTGATTTCTACTGGGATGTGTGCACCACAACGCTCCTATCCTATAAAGCTGACCTGGCAGACAAGTACCCCAGGCTGTTGGCTCTCAGGGACAGAGTGCAAGCACTGCCCGCTATTGCAGCCTGGATCCAGAAAAGACCAAAGACAATAATTTAGATCAGCTGTTCACTGCAAAAACAAATGCATGTTTTTTGATTTTCGAACATTACAAATGTGCTAAGTTATTAATTTTAGAATCATTTAAATTAATTTCAGGTGAGTGTGCAGGACCAAATCAGAATCTAGTAGAGTAGAGCCTGGGTAGAGGCGCTGTTCCAAAAGCATTCCCTTCATCACTAAAAAAGTGCTTGAAAAACACAGTCAATGTTCTGTAAGTACTCAGATGGAGAAACAATAATAAATATTACTGACAAATATAACCTCAATGATACTTCCTGTTTATTGTTGACTTTGTCGAGGAAGCCAGGTTAAACAAGATGAGAAGTGCTTGGGAGGATTAAGAACACTAGGCAGCACTGATGAAAACTACTCACTTGCTCAAGAGATGTCAAGTTCCTCCAACACTTCCTTAGCCTCCTGCAGTTCCTGCTGTGCCATTACAAAAAAATGCAGCTGCCCAGCTGAGACGCTGCCCACATCAGCGCCAGCTATAAGCACACCAGCTGCAAAAACATTCAATTGCTCAGCATTTATCCAGTAAAACCAACAAACAACAGTGGCAGGGGTGAAAACTAAATTTAGAACAAAATAAATGGAACGTGCCAAAGGTTTGTTCTTCTAGCAACAGGGTAAATAGGTCAGTGGAGCTGCTGAAAACAGGGATAGTTATAGATGAGATAGGTTTACCCAAGCTCAAGGGGAAAACAATCACTCATAAGAGGACTCCACTACTCGTAGTGGCTTATCCATTTAAAAGAGACTGGGCTGAAAATGGACGATGATGGGAAATTGTTCTCCTTTACAGCTATTCCTTCCCCCTACCCCAACTCCGATGAGTCTTATTTCACTTAGCTCTCTAAGTAACATAAACCAACCACTAAGCAGTTCAGAAACTAAGAGGTATCAGCAGAAAAAGAAGCAAGGTTCGTTCCCGCATAGATCTGAATATGCAGTCTCCATTTGCCCTTGCAATTCCTGCATGCCTTGTTGTAGCTCCTCATAATTTTTTGTTTCCTGAGAGGGAATCTCATCACTGTTTATAAATATCTCAAGTGTTGAAGCCAAGCTGTAAGAGATAAGACTCTTGGTGGTGAACAACAAAAGAAAAAGGGACAACGGGCAGAATCTAGAACACAGGAAGCTCCACACTAACACAAGAATGAACTTATTTACTATCAGTGATAAAGCACTGGAACAAGATGTGCTAAGAGACAGTGGACTCTCCTTCTACAGAGATACTCAAGATCTGCCTGCACACTTAGCCATGAACCTGCTATGGGAGCCTGCCTTAGGAGGGGAGTTGAACTCAATGATTCCTAGAAGTCCCTTCCAATCCCTACAGTTCTGCAATCCTGTGACATAAGTTCTGTGACTAGGGCACTTCACTATCAGATCGTAGACCTGGTATCTCCAGGACTGACTAAGAAAATTACAACCTGAGCAGAAAACTCGTCACTGTAATACAAAGGAAAGCGCAGCAGTGACAGCAGAGTAGCAAGGTCCTAGGCTACAGCAAGCAAAGACCTGCTCAAATGCAACAGTTTTAGGCACAGAAATAAAGAAAAGATGCTTCTTACCTGCAAAAAAGCCTCAGGTACACAGGGATTTTCAAGAAAATACCCTTGCATCGACTGCCAACCCTTAACTGAGGTCTGGGAAGGGGTAGATCCTGGCTCCATCCCTTCCAATCACTCAGGTACATTGCATGCACCTGAGCTCCCCTGCTGGCCCTGCCTTCCACCAGGTGTTCAATCACTGCTTCAGGCTGTGACTTAGCATTTCTACTACAGGCAGGAACTCCCATTTTCATAATCTGTATTCTAAAGCAACTTTTATTTGAATACAGTGAGATAATAGTAAATATTTACTAACAGATAAGAGAAGTCAGGTCAAATGGAGCACTTTGGATAGTTTGAAAGCTGGCTCTGATTTGCATCATGCAAGTTATCAGTTCCACCCTCCTCTCCCAATAACCACAACATGAGAACGTGTTGATAACGCATGGAATTTTATTTGAACAAACTGATACAAAACCAGGACAGTACGTCAAAAGAACCAGAACAAGCAGAAACAGACTTAGGCATTGTCAAATAAGGCACATATAAAAGAAATCTACAAGCACAATCCAGTGAAACAGACAGTTTATTTATACGTCTGGAGGTAGAAATAATTACAAAAATACTGACAAATCTTAAGCAGTAGCAGATTTATTAAAACAATTACTACGTAGGTCCCCATTTTGAAAAACGTCCTGTAAAATAATGTTTCTTCAGCATCTGATGTTGATAGACTTGTACTGTTTATGTTTTCAAGCATCGAAAGAATGCTACCAGTGTTAAAAATTATCAATACCATGAGGAATAAAATGAAGAAACTACAAAAAGTTATAAAACTTCAGAAAACTCATGGTCATCAATAACATAAGAGTCCTCGGGGGTATGGCATTTCATTTCTTCCTTAAATTCCACATATTTACAATTTAGAGACCTAATGAGGCTTTCAATAGCGTGGCTATATCTGCTGGAATGGCCCCTTCTTCTCCTGAAGAATCAAAACATACATTAGGAGAGCAATAAGTATTTTACATAAACTGACGAAAGTCTAGAATCTCAAAACTGTACACAATCCTCTACTTGCAAGCTTTTGGTCTGCGTGTTAGATTCAAGGGACACTTCCTGTCAAGCTGAAAAGTAAACTGGCACAATACATTTTTCTAGTTTAAAGTGGAACTAAAAATTGTCTCATCTTAATTACGAGTGCAGTTTTTTGGAATAATATATTGCAGTGATCTCCTTAACTCATGTAAGGTGAAATCATTTCTGGCAAGAGACTTACCCAAATCTGCTGCAGTCATATCTTGTTCTAACTTCAATTTCTGCTGATTCATTTTGAGCATGGATTCTTCAATAGTCCCTTTACTGATCAGCTTTATGACTTTTACTTCTCTGAAAAGCACAAAATAGGATAAATACACCTTTACAGTTTCTTTGGATCAGTGTAAAAGGAAAGGACTCATGCCTTTGTTTGAATGGCAGTAGTTTACAACAATACTAAAGCAGACAGTTTCCCTCTTTGGACCAGTTATGCTCCATACTGACAGAAAACTTGTTTTCTCCTCATCCAGCACAAGGGTCTGTATGGTCTCAAAAAACTCACGTTCATAGAAACAACTGAATATTTCTCAATCTGATACTACAAGCAAAATACCATTTACTAAACACATTCTATGGCTCACAACTTATTCCTTAGTGAAGAAAACAGAGCAGAAAACTGATCCTTTCTTTAAGGCACTGCAGCATTTTAAAGCTTAGAAGTCTTTGGAAGAAAACAACCAGCTTTTTCAGCCAGTTCCAATGACTTGCGACCAGTCTTCATATAAATTTCTGGTGCTAAGAACTGATGTGAACTGCGGAAAAATGAAAAATTAGAGTAGAATGTAATTAAGGTTAGTTCCACCTACAACCATGCAATTGTAAGACAACTGCAACTATTCCAAGCAATCCAGAGACGGCTTACAGAAATCTGATTAAAATGGAATCTTTAAATCAAACTGTTTGCGTCCAAGAGAAGCATCATAACTAAGAAGTCTTACCTTGTTTGACCTACTCTATGGCATCGATCTTCTGCTTGCTTATCATTGTATGGATTGCAATCGATGTCATGAAGAATAACAACATTCGCTGAAGTCAGATTGATTCCCAAGCCACCAGCTTTGGTTGACAGGAGGAACACAAATATACCCATATCTGTATTGAACTCATCTATTAGATGTATCCTACGGAACATAGGAACACATGCATCAGGTCTTAGAAAACAACAAAATTCTTGCTTCAGAGTTAAATATAGAAGTTATAATTATGATCTGAGGAAGAGGCCAGGGGGATTGCAAAGCAACTCAAAAGTACAGATGTTAGGCATAAAGGAAAAGGTGTGACAATTCTAAGGGGTGACCAGCACATACTTAAAGATTGGTAAGACAGAGCAAAGAATGAAGTGATGTTTGGAATAAGATTTTGGATTATCATCACGGAATACAAAGAATAAGCTGGTGGAAGAGGGTGGGGAGGACTATGGCAAAACAGGTGACAGGACAGTGAAGAATTTAGGTTCACAACTGTCTTGCACTAATTGCACTTGAAAGTTAAGAAGAGTAGAGATTTCAGCTGCAAGTGGGAAGTAACATCATACCAATAACTTGATTATTGAAAGAAGAAAAGAGCATCTGAAAAAAGATTCCAGGAAACGGGAAGTGTCTACAGGTGAGCCTTAACAAAAGTCATGCTGACATAAAAGCAAATCAAAACATCATTTATAGCGAAGTTGAAAGTTTTCCAGGTGGATATGCTAACGACAATCTGATCTTCTAAACTCACCTTTCAGCCTCAACCTTGTTAAGGCAATCTGAAATTCAACATTAAACTCCTACTAGAGTAAATTCCCAGCAAATACAACATTCTATATGTTAGAAAACAAAGGTTAGTAAGTCAGATCCTCTCACAAATGGCAAATCCATTTCTTCAACTGCCTTCAGAAAACAAACAGAAGTCACATACCTGTCAGAAATCTGTGTTTTTCCATCCAACCTAATATACCTGTGTTGCCAATGTTTTAGGAAAACTTCCAAGATATCCAGTACCATTGTAAACTGGCTAAACAACACAACTCTGTCACCCTGGAAATGACATAGAAAAACAAAAGTTTTAAAACACTCCAGTTAAAGTGATGAACTAGACAAATGTATTATTTGCATTTAAAAAGTGATTTTACTTAGAATCCCTGATTTCCAAACTGAAAAACAAAGCTGACATTACTAAGACTGCAGACTGACTGTTAATAAAACATGTACAGTATTTCTGTTGTGTTAATCCACTTTTAGTTAGAGCCAGAAGTTTTTTTAGTTATTTTGTACTTGGGTCAATTAAACAACCTCGAAATCACAAGTCAAGTGCAAGAGTGACAGACCTATAAAAATATGTTAAAAACTGTTAAATTTGAGCTGTTTTCCATATCATAGCTCCCTGTTGAAATATTTGGCTACATGCTTATTTGCAGAATAAGCCAATTTGAATTTGTAACTCAAAAAAATGACACCTTATGTTCATGTTAAAACAGCCATGTATTAAGCCAAATTAATAGTCTTATTCAAAGGCCAAAAGAAAGTCAGATGATTCAACCCTTATGAGCTGTGAAAGCAACACTGTGCCTACCTACTAATTGTCATGTTAACTTGGGTTAGAAAATTCAGCACTTGAAAAATGAGGAAGCTTACTGTCACTGTGTAATCTTATTGTCTATAGAGCAAAGTACAAAAGTAGGACTACATGTTAAAAGCAGTGCACTGCACACACATTAAATCAGACTGTAATACTCCATACAAAAGCAACTGAGTAGCACATACAGCTGCTTGTGACCAGATGGTGAGCTTTTTTTTGGTGCCAGCCATTCTAAAGACAGCAAAGGACATTTCAATGATTTGTAGTACAAACCTTCTCTTTAAGGTCAGATAGAAGGCGTTCCAATACTCTAAACTTTCCCGAATCCAAAATCTGATCCATATCTAACTTGAAGTCACTGACATGAGTATATTGCTTACAAAGCAAATGCAATTCAAAATCTGTCATTACTGTCATATCTTCAAAGATAAGGTCAGGATTAGCGTCACAATGTGTGGGTTCCTATTAGCAAAAATGAAGGAAAACAATACAATATACAATCTTGATACACAGACAAGGAAATAAAAAACCAATTACATCCACAGTTTCTGTAAGAACAAAAAGCAGCACAACTAGACATTGACAAATGCCAGAGCATGGCTCATACAAGCAACAGAAGATGAAATCTGCAACCCCAGGTTTATAATAGAAGATTGTCACTTTACAATTTAACTCTTACAAGAATTTGTGCTATCAAAAACTAAGTATATTCTCAACCTCCACAGCCATTACCTAGTTCTCATCAAGCCCTACGACCTTTTGCCCCTGTATCAGACCTCTTCCCCTGAAGACACACTCCCTAAAAGGGAGATCCAATCCTTGGTTAGATGGTAGAAGACATGGGAAGCCCAGCCCAAGATGTAGGGTGGGTAGAGGGATGTCATGCCTGGAAGAAAGAGGAAAAGAAAAGCCACATCTGGAGAGTACGATGGCATGAGAAGGAATAAAAAAGGGACAAGAATCCTTCATAAAAATGAATGACTTCTTCCCTTCCCCCCAACCCTGACTGGCTTTATTTTTAGCAAAGCTACAGATACTCAAAGCCAGCTGCAGCTTTCTCAGAGTATACCCTCCTGCATGTCCCAAGATCTCTTTTGTTTGCACTTTAGAAAGATGCAGTAATTTTTCCCCAACTCCACAGGCTCTAACTGCAGATGTGCGACCAAAAAACCCTCAATACTTGAATACATCAGTGCCCTGTTTTTACATCTATATCGCCTACATTCCTTGCTGCTCAGAAAACACTAATAAAACCAGATGCCCTCCTCCTGAGACATTTTCTTAAGTATTATGGTTTTAAGTTTTGGTTTAGGGGGAAGAGGTGTTAAAGGGTAAGGGTCACAGAAAAGATGATGACTGCAATCTCAGAACTATTCTCTCCATTTAACCTTGGTTCTAGAAGACAGAGTGTTAAAACACACAGAACTTGGCTGGATAGATGCAGAAAAACAAAAAGCAGCAATAATGAATTAAGGTTTACAAAGACACACTTTTGATCTAAGGACTGAC